TATCTCTCTCTCTCTCTCTCTCTCTCTCTCTCTCTCTCTCTCTCTCTCTCTCTCTCTCTCTCTCTCTCTCTCTCTCTCTCTCTCTCTCTCTCTGTTACGGATTTCGTTGGGATTTGCGCCATTAAAGGGGAGACTGCGTATTTTCGCTACGGACGCTAAGTGGGCAAAGTGATCTTAGCAAAAGTTTGCTGAAATTTCGGAAGTGCTCTTTTCACGTTCGGCTTTTACGATGAATCTATTCGTAGAGAGACTTGGATCCCCGTCGCAAAAAGTAATATTATGTACGAAAGGGTAAACGTCTAATCCTAGAAATAATTATTCACCTAATACAGCATAAAGGAGGCTTAGCTTAAGTCGCGTGCGATATCGAAGAGACGATAAGAGCAAGATATAAAATTATCTCGCTGGGCAAGATTCGTTGAATGAGAAAAGTTACACGTTGACGTGTAACTGAAGAAAACATCGGTGAGAAAAAATTAACCCCGCGCTTTGTTCGCGATGAACTTTTTACGCTCGTTACAAAGCGCCTTTGATTAAAAACCATGCGGACAACGGCGAAGAGCGAGATGTTCACGACGGGGTCCAAGGACGGTTGGAGGAGAGATAGGAAGAAAAATCGTCTAATGGGTAATTCATTCTCGGGGAGGGAACAAACGATGGCGGACGTCGCTGAAAAATATTCGAATGGCCGACGATCCATAGGAAAGAAGAACAGAAGAAGCTCCCGCGAGGGAATCGCAGATGATATCGATGCTCCCTCCCCCAACTCGATCTTGCCGCGATCCGATTCTTTCTTCGAAGAAATCGTCGTTGAAGCCGCCGAATCACAAATCCCGTCGACGCGGCTCGTTCTTTCTGTGCGATTACCTGAGACCGGAAACGCCGCGGATCTAAATCGCAAAATCCCGCTTTCGTGATGTTGATCGAGTATCCACGATGACGTTAAGTTAATTGCGGAAGAAATCTTCGATGTCAATGATCGAACGTCCGTCGGCGCGCAGTATATAATTTTAACCCTTTGGATGCGATTCTCTCGTTTCACTTAAAATTAGTTTATATCGATTGATATACGTGCTGAAGATATACGTGCTAGGACCGGTAAAAAAAAAAAGAACAATATAATAAATAGAATTAATTATTAATTATTGCTTCGTGTAATTTAATTTCAATTTAAAATTTCAAATATTATTTTCCTGAATGCGTCTTATTAATATTAATGCGTTTAACGATTGTGTTTTACTTTGTAAAAACTGCTCGATTTATTTCAATTGAATATCCGTGTATTATTATATTTGTTAATTAAAACACTTTATTTCATAGTAACATAACATAGTAATAAATTATAAGATAAATTTCAAAAGAGAGATTATATTTCGTAATTAAAAATTCTCTTGTGAAATGACTCTTGAGTTACTTTTTGATGCGGAAATTATTGTTTAATTTAACGCACAGGCGTCTCACGCCGGAGACGCCATTAATGTAGCGCGTATACATCGAGTGTAGTCGACGGATTTCCGGCGTAAATCCGGCATAATGTTCTAAGATTATTCGCGAGGCGGCATCCAAAGTGTTAGCATAATCGCGTTAATTAGTCCGAGAGAAACAGAGAAACACTCGGGCGCGTCTGGCGATCTGGGCGTCTCGAGATCGATCGATCCGTCCGTCTAATTTCACTACTGGCAAGATCTGAAGAGGACGCTCGACGAGAGGAGGCCGACGAGGGCCGCCCAAGTAACGAGATCGAGGGTGCCCCTCCTGGACCCGGCGCCCCCGTTCACGCAAGTCTCGCGGATGCTGACGTTCTTCAGGCCGCGCCGTCCCAGGAGATTGTGAACGCCTCGTTTGTCGCTGTTCTGCAGGGTGTGCTCGCGCGACAATAGCAGGGAGTACAGCTGATTGTTGGGATGCCGGGAGCAGAAAGTCAACACCATGTCCGAGGCGACGGCCTTCATTACGTGCACGTTGCCGGTGAACTGCATGTACTTTTTCCTCTCCGCCAGGGTACCTGCAAATTAAATCAACACCCGGGTTAAAAGAAGCAACGGGTCGCGATACGCAAGATGAAGAGGAAGAGGGGGAGGAAGGGAGGGGACGACCTCCCTATCGAATTTCCTGCCCCGGCTTTTCGTGTCAGCTTCCGTCCGCTGCACGAAGTAGAATCTCTTGTACAAACGGAACTGTCGCGACTGCAGAAATAAATGTCTGTCGACGACAAGTCTATTTTTACGAAGTAGTTTTATCTTCGCGAGGAATGCTCTTGAGTGAAATAGGAAGAAGAGATGGAAGAAGAGATGGAAGCGGAACACTTTGTACCTACGGTTTTTTATTTCACGTGAAAATAACTTGCGTATATTAGGAGGGATAAAAAAAAATTGAAATTCAAGTTTTTCTGACTGGTGGGCTTATTTGAACATTGTAAGAGTTTTCAATGACATCGAAAGTCCGAGATGAGCTCGGTATATTTAGTCGGTAATTAGTTCAATGCACGCTCTCATGAGGTGAGAATGATAGATGAGACTTTCTCGAAATAGGCATCTAAGATATTGTCAGGGTGGGATAGCGCGACAATAAAGAAGGATCGACCGAGCAGCGAAAGCTTGACTTTCCAATTTCCTGCCTCCACCGATACGGGACGGAGAGGAGAAACATTATAT